GTCGTGGGGCTTAAAACGTGGACATCTGACGGACGGAGGCTCTTCCGCGGTATTTTCGTTTCCTTTATTGCGTCAAGGTGATGCGGAGGCAAACATTCGCTCAGCCGTCTGCGCGCGCGAGCGCCCGCCCGCCACCCGCGTGTGTCTGCCACAGGACGGCAGGTTGTCCTTCTTTTATCGCTGTATCGTGACTATCGTCTGCCGTGGCTCTCTAAGCTGCTACGTCATAGGCCCGCGTACATTGACTGCGGCAGTCAATGTACGCGGGCTATAGTACTAGAGCTACCGTGCTACTACTAGAGCTACCGTGCTCCGTGCTCGCCAGCCAAGTACACCGACCGATCGACAGACTGTCGCGTTCACGTATATGCAACGCTGGAGTCCACATACGGGACTATACTGGATATAACTATATATAATTATATTATAACTAACGACTATAACTACTCCACCATAATACCACTAATTCCAGGCGTACACGAATAGAGCGATATCTCTATTCGAGTACTCCTACTAATATTATACTAATACATAAACTGTAATACTGATACCATTGTAATATATACTATAATATTAATATTGCCAACTATATACTATTATACTATACTAATACAATACTAATATGTTCTATAACACTAATACTACTAACTGTATATTATAACTATATACTACGCAACTTGATTTGAATTTGTAATAGTTGAATAGAATTGAGAATATAACAACGTATACGAGCGTTCTCTGACATTATAAGTTCACTACAGAAACTTGTTCTTGAACGATTAATGCAGTTAAGTACTTAAGTTTGGGTGGAAAAGTTGAGATCATTGGTTTAAGCACATGACACGCTCACCTGTGCCCTACCCCTCTTGCCCACAGTTATAGCCGTAGTGATTTAGATGGGTGGACCGAGTGGGAGGCCTGGACCCCTGCGGAGAAGATAAGTCGACGTTGGCCGTTCCTACTAAGATGACGGGTTAACAACGGAACTAGACTCTTCATGCTCGGAATGTATGAGAGAGCGGCATTGTAGTTCCAATTTCAATAGAAAATTCTCAAACAATATAGCGACTACTATACACAGCTACTTCGACATCACATTCAAACATTAACAAGCTTCGCCGCCCCACTCAGTTTCCACCCCGCCCTCACTGAGTTGGTATGTTAGGAATCCCATAGATTCAATCCAATCGCTATGACCATACCATAGTCTGAACGCCCTTTACTGCGATTAGCCTGAAAGTTATAGAATATGTGTTATGAATGTCGTTAGTCTATATTATAAGTCAGCACACGGGGAAACAGAAGGCCCTAGATAGAGTTGATACTTTAACGCGTTACGATTTGCGACAAATCACGTAGCATAACGATTCAATGTTCATTTATTTTCATGAATATTATTATATTAACTCACGACAGAGCAATTACCGACGGCGATAAGGGGTGTTTCTAAGCTAATGTACTTATATCACGAATGTAACCAATGAATCACAATAACATCAGGCGATAGACGGGACGATGTGAGAGTATAGCAGTTTAAAGTGATTACGTCACCGTAAATAGTAAAAATAAAAAAATAAATTTTTTCACTTTTTCACAAAATATAAGTAATTCTGTTCACTTTTTAGGGTTAAATTGCTGCATTATGCTTCCTGTTTTACTATATTGTTCGATGTGAATATACACTCGTGACTCATACATAGCCCATAGCAAGCAATTAATGTCAGGAACATAATATCAAGAGTGGATAATAGAGGATATTCTCTATTATCCACTCTTGATAATATCAAATCGTCCAGGCTTTTGAATTTTTAACTAGTTGAGAAACAATCTTATCAGGTAAGAATTTGACGATACGTTTAGTCACGTTAGTTCTTACTTTTAATGTAAAAAAATTGGCAACAAAAATTTTACCAATTTCACCATAGAAAATTCGTGACGTAGAGACGGACGTAGAATCGGACAATAAAACGTGGCCCTGTTCATGATCAAACTACCGAGTCTCCCATTTAGCATCATTATTCTGTTGGCCGCCCCTGGAACATGAGCAAACTCAACCCTATGTCACACGAAAGCGTACAGATGCAATGCTGAGGTCACGTAGACGAGTGCGTAGACGTTAACCTAAACAAGGAAGTTTCGTCGTATGAGGATGAATTAAGCTGTCATGTGCCGGTAGAATACGGTGAGAGGAATTTGCGAATGAATCGGAGGTAGTGTATGCCGTGCGAAAAAAATCACCGCAACACGCTTTCACACATCTCTCACGCATTTCCATTGCGAAACGCGAAACTGTCTGGGTTACCTATCGCAGTGTATTTAGGTTCCAGACAGCGCTCAAGCCACACACGACGCGCTTCTGCAATTGTTGGCGTTTAATTACACCGATACATACTAGCTCCACCCGTGCATAGCACAGCAGCTCTTTGTTCCGCAACGGCACACGCTGAAGAAGATCGTCGTAGACTATCTCTAAATAACTGCCACACATCGAAAAGATGTCTATTGACATTAGTCTCGCAGCCTGGTCGGGACTCTGGGCAGATGTTGACTAGCTCTACCGGTGTAGCCCCTTCGCTCCCCCTACAGGGGGTCTGTAGCGGGAGCGAAGGGGTACCCCCCCCCTGTAGCGGGAGCGAAGGGGCTACACCGGTAGAGCAACATGTTCTGCTAGCATCTATGACAAATACGACATACGCATATACGCTCTCCTATGACACTATTTGTCATAGGAAGAATCTTCCTATGACAAATACGACATACGCATATACGCTCTCCTATGACACTATTTGTCATAGAAAGATTCTTCCTATGACAAATATTGACGAGTCAACTTCGTTTCGCTTTACAGCTGAATTTCACTGCTTGCTTTCATAATAGCGCTCCTAAACTCCTATGATGCGCATAACACATACAGCAATATTTGTCATAGGAGAGCGTATATGCGTATGTCGTATTTGTCATAGATGCAAGCAGAACATGTTGCACATCCGTAGAGCTAGGTGTGGACCAGCGTGGTAGTAGCGAGGCGGGTAGCAACAGCGTCGGCTGCACCGAGCGACCCGACGACCGACGGGTTATTTACGGGCGACACGGGCAGGACGTGGCGGAGACGGAGGGAGAAGGCCACTGGCGGAGAACCAGTCCCGCGAGATTGATGATGTCGTCATGATGATGTCGTAAAGATGAAGTCACCCGCGGCGGGAATACGACGATGCATGATAGCGTCACCTGCATGGTATAGCATAATAGCACTACCGCCGACGCCGCGTTTCCCACGCGGGTCAAGATCCCCATCGCCGGTCAAGATGACAGTCGCCGGTCAAACTGGACTAGAGGCGATTCACGACAGGTTTTATAGCCACATGCGTTCATCACTTCATACCACACTGCACGTACGTGCGTCCGTCACAGGCACCGCCGACGACGTACGTGCTACGAACCACGCGCTGTACGAAATTCATGCCATGGCCTAGAATCTAGAGGCTATCTGTGAGTACAACACGCACCATTCAGCAACTTTCCCTTTTTATACATGGAGAGGCAAGATAGGCATGCGGCTACGGTCACTGTCATGGTCCAGATTCAGCTAATGCTATTGTGTATGTGTGCGCGAAGCTCAGTCGTAAAAAACTTTTTTATTTTGGCTTTCTAGGCTAAGTAAGCCGAATCGAATTCAAACAAGGCACTCACACGCAAAAGTGGTCATATAAACAACACGGCGACAGTTTGCTGTGAACTTTCGAATTCACGCGGCAATGCAAGACGACGCAGCAGCAATCATACTCTGGTTTGTCTAAGTATCTCTGTACAAGCATACTAAGTAACAACTGGAAACAAGACATTTCTATTACTGACGCGTAACTGAGTCCGCAAGGTTATTTGCTAAAAGGATTTTCCACACGGTGGCATAATCCTAACCGTAATAGTGCGCGTGTATTAACAAGAAAATGTGAAAAAACAGGTTAAGTGGACGTTCAGAAGCTGAATGTCCTTTACGCGGCACCATACACGCTTCATAGCGGGAAGCAAGTAGAGTTGATGATGGATATTGTCAGCTTCACTGAAGACTTTGTATTCGCGCAATGGCGAACGAACTGGAGCAGCCACAGGTACAACACGACTGCTACACGTCCATCATGACCGCTACAGGTCCATCATGACTGCTACACGTCCATCATGACCGCTACAAGTCCATCATGACTGCTACACGTCCATCATGACTACTACAGGTACAACACGACTGCTACAGGTCCATCATGACCGCTACAAGTCCATCATGACTGCTACACGTCCATCATGACTACTACAGGTACATCACGACTGTTACAGGTCCATCATGACTGCTACAGGTCCATCATGATTGCTATGGGTCTATCATGACTGCTACAGGTCCATCATGATTGCTATGGGTCTATCATGACTGCTACACGTCCATCATGACTGCTACGGGTACGACATGACTGCAATCGGTCTATCATGACTGCTACAGGCCCATCATGACTGCTATGTGTCCATCACGACTGCTATGGGTCCATCATGACTGCTATGAGTACATCATGACGGCTACAGGTCCATCATGACTGCTATGGGTACATCATGACGGCTACAGGTACATCATGACTGCTATGTGTCCATCATGACTGCTAGGTGTCCATCACGACTGCTATGGGTCCATCACGACTGCTATGGGTACATCATGACGGCTACAGGTCCATCATGACTGCTATGCTATCTGGATTGCAGTGCTGACTGCATGTCTACAGAGCCTAGATTAGATCGACCAACACGACTGAAGTTGGTCTCTCATGATTACAGTATGTCCACTGTGACTGGAGTAGGTCCATTATGTGTGAAGTCACGTGAGCTATAAAGCTATTCGCAATGGGACAGAGACGTGATGCCATTACTTTAAAAAATTCAAACACGGTTTCTATTCTGACTTTTGAGTTAAACATGACTAGAAAATTACAACTGACTCCTAAAAAGGAAACAAGCAACACTTTTTAATTTTACTTTTTTATTTACTTAAACTCCTTTGTTGGAAAAATACCAAACTTCTACATGCATACATATACAGCGTCTATTTACCTGTTATGACAATGTGTAAAATCAAGAGCGTATAAAGAATAGAACGTAGAAGGACCTTCTTTATACGCTCTTGGTAAAATCAGTCTTACATTTCCATGCAGTTGACATATATTCCAAACACATGTAAATAAATATATGTGAAATTTATAGTTTCGACAATCAGATTGGCAAAACAGGATGTGTGACAATACAGCTCATATGTCGTATGTTATGCCCTTAAGCACAACAATGGTCCACGTAACACTTCCTAGAACGACAGTGAACATGTTTCGTTCATGTTGCAACCATGACTGGTCTCATTTTCCACGAGAAGAGAAAAAAACACCACACAAAACTTTACGACTGTGCCTAATTTTCTATTCATATCTTAAACTCCCGATTTAAATCGTGATAGCCATTGTCGCAAGCCGCTGCCTCGGAAACCCTCCCGACTCTCGTGCCGCTACGATCATGCATCAGTTATGACGCACAGAATGACGAGACACTTTGTATCTGTAATCGAGCGCCGATCATAAAAGGCACGAAAATTACCAGCCCCAAAACAATTTGCTGATTTACGAACATCGTAGCTTTCAAGGTGACCGCCGCGCGAGTATGCCGGCTTCACTATACGATTCCATTGTTATGTGCGGGTATTTACAAGCGAGCCGAGCTACAAGTCTCTCCCGGCCGCAGCAGCAGACACGTACACTTTAACATCAAGTTCATTGATCGGTCAACAAAAAACCGACTCGAATGCATTCGATAATGACGATGATGATGGTGCTAATCATTCGACATCCGGCAATTAGATCCCCACAATTACGCGCGTTATCTAACAATCGCGGACAGCAATCATCTTTATATATAGTTATATAGTTTTATGTCATTTTATATCATTCGATCTCCACACAGACAATATACATGCAGCATGTGTGAATTCAGGTGCACTGCTTACAGAATAAGGTGGGGGACAAGGACAATTAAAAGGGAACATTAGTCTAGAATTTGAGAATATATTATGATACTTTATAGCATAGTAGCATTATTCAAATCTAAGATAATAGAAAAAGCGTTTTAAACCTATAGTAATGTTACCACATGTATTCTAAGACAGTAGAGTCCTAGGTGAAAGCATCAGTGAGCGAAGTCAGAGTTGATGTCTTCAGATGAAGAGAGATTTGACTGAAGTAGTGCAGAAATCTGAAAAATGTAAAATAACCATAACAACATAAATATCTGGGGAACAAATTTTTAAAAACTTTGCAAAAAATGTTAGCATAATAATTATAATTTAATTTAAAGACATTTCCGACTTAAAAAACAATTCTTAGCAATGCTTCAGTTCTTTCATCGATAATAAACCAGCAGTAACCTTTTAGACACCAGCTTACACAGGTTACCTGCCACCCCCGTCACTTCAGACAGCATACCTTCCCCCACCCCATCACTTCAGACAGCATACCTTCCCACCCCTTCACTTCAGACAGCATACCTTCACAACCCCTGTCACTTCAGACAGCACACCTTCCCACCTCTTCACTTCATACAGCATACCTTCACTTCAGACAGCACCCCTTCACTTCAGACAGCATACCTTCCCACCCCTTCACTTCAGACAGCATACCTTCCCACCCCTTCACTTCAGACAGCATACCTTCCCACCCCTTCACTTCACACAGTATACCTTCCTCTCCTCTTGCCGCTCTCCTCCTGTTTCTTCTTCTCTGCCCTGTTAATTGCTCTCAGCGCTGGCATGTAGTCAGCACCGATGCACGCGTACTTGCCCTGCACACACGCGGGTAGGAGCCGGGCCACCGATATCACAGCTTCCCTCTGCATTCGACTAGTCCTGAAATGACGACAGCAATAAAATACGCCGGCCATCGTGTACTGTTCTTGTGTGAAAGTTTCTGATGTAATGAACGCGTCTAGAATAATTATTCGAAGTATAGTTATTATAATTACACAATTATGCAAATAATGCTCAAGCGTTATATGATGGAATGCTTATCAATATTTTGTTAGTGACATAATTCTCATTGCACAATCTGTGATGCCAAAGACGTGCAGAGAATTTGCAAGACTATGAGATTTTAATTTTGCTTTGGTTTTTATTACAAGGTTTGTGAGTTCATATTTCAGTGTTGCTAACTGACGAAATATAATCTTCTGTCAACATAATTCACCTCTCATCGACAAGATATGAGCTGGACAACTGCACTCCACCACCTGCTGGCATCTCGTGTACGGGAATCGTCAAACATTGCACGGTGTCTCCATCTGGCGAGTCTTTTAACAAGTTTCCGAGGCGAGACGAGCAGCGAGTTATGGACAGAGCTTTCACGGAGGCAGCCAAATCTAACCGCATGTCATCCGAAGTGCTGCAATCACCGTCGTACAGCCGCCGAGCATCTGCCGCGTGGAGCGCGGGCCGCAAACTATCCAGAGGTGCGTCGCCTCTCTCCCGCACTGGAGCGTAGGTGTCCGCGAACGCCCGAACGTCGCACAGGTCTGACAGCGAGCGGACGGCCTCGTAAACGCACCTTCTCCTCCGCGCCTCCGCCGGCGACGGCTTCTCCCCACGCTCGTCCCGAATCGCGCAATGCTCTCCCTTGCCACCGCCGCCGCGTTCGTCCTCCCCTCTGTCTCCGCTCTCCCCAGCAGGAACCTCCCGCGCCGACCCGGCGTCGCCGCCTCTCCGAGCGGCCGTCGCGAGCCCGTCCGAAGACTCGTCGCTGCTGTCGAGGAACGCCGTGATGCGGCGCCACCTGCAGGCGGGCGTCAGCCGCCGCCAGCCGTCGTCGGACAGGCGCAGACGCTCGCGCGACGCGACGATGCTCGCCGGCAGCGGCAGCAGACGCGACACGAGAACGTGCTGCAGGACGTCGACGCCGACGACGGCGCACAGCGTCGCGAGCTTGCTCAGCCCGCGCGCGTCGTTGGGGGCAGCCGTCGCCGCGGCGATGCCGCAGAGCGACCGCAGGCAGCCGCGGCGGACCCCCGGCGGCGCCTCGTCCGCTCCCGGCAACGCGTCACCTTCGTCAAAGGGGCGTGTGCCACTCGCAGGCACCCCCTGCTGGATTTCTCTTGAATTAGTGCCCTCGCATTTGTCATCTTTGCAGAGGGTAGCGGTGGCGGGGTTTGACGACTCGCACACCTGCTTGTAGTCCTGTGAGTGAGACCTCGGGAGCTCCGGCAGGGATGTTGGAAGCCCGGTCGAGGATGTTGGGAGCACGGGCAGGGATGCTGGGTGTGTGGGAAGGGATGTTGGGAGCGTGGGGAGGAATCTTGGGAGCTCAGGCAGGGTTCCGGCACCCGAATTCACCCAGAACTGCAGCGAGAGCATGCATCGGCGGATGTCGCCGGTGAGGAAGCTGACGAGAGAGAGGATGTCACGATGATCGGTGCGCACTCCCTCCGCGAGGCACATCGCCTGCAGGTGGCTTGCCGTCGTCGTCTGCCGGAGACATAACAGACGGTATAGTCTGACGTCAGGTGCTTCAACCTCACACCCAACTTTTCAATTACAAGGTGCCACGAGCATATTGGATTAAGATTATTATTTTCAATACGTACGTGATAGGAGAAATGCAAGTCTAGTTTCATAAAAATGTTGGGCAACGACTCGTCAATCAGAATCTCACGTAATTAGAAAACACAAACTATAAGCACTGCTACGTGTTACATAATACATCTATACATTGTATACACGAATTTGCATAATTTCCGTTAGTAGGAAAGGTTTGCGGTAGCAGCACGGATATACGCACGCAGAATGGTGAAGAGACTTACGTAAGTGGGGACGCGAAATGACAGCTGTTCGTATGTAATTTTCAGTTTGAGGCTGACGTCAGGGTGGTTGGTGGTCATGATGATAGGTCGCTTGGTCGTGGCTATGAACATGTTGACAGCTGGCCAGAATCCCTCATCTAGCTCCTCAAATACATTGTCCACCTAAGCAATACACAGTTGTTCGTGAACACTATTGTTTAATGAGTAACAAAATAAAAGACATCTAATGAATCGTTTCCTGTAGGTAATGGCTGTGGCAACTTTGGGGCAAAATCTTTTCGATTTACGAAGCAGTAACCAAGAATAGATAGCATTTTGTGTGTTGCCGCCTTGAGATATACAGTAGAGACAATATGATATATATCTCACTTCTTCAAACAAGATTAACGAGTTGTTTGATAGCTTCACGCTTGCAGCTTGAGTGTTGGTTGTCTGACTGATACTCTTGTCATCATCGTATGCAATCTCCCGTTCACATTTCCTCATCCCTTTTTCACCTATGAAAACGTTTAGTAAAGAATTTAAGAGAACAGGGTATAATAAAGATGATATAAGATTGATCATTCAACACAACAAAATTCTATCGGGCTGCAGTAAAGATGAGTAAATTGAGATTTAGCATGAAGCTCTTCAAAAATCATATACCATAATAGTAATCGTAATAGTATACAATTCCGGAAACTAGATAAATAAATAGTCTCACTTTATGCAAAAATGTCACCGTAACGCACGTAAAGTTTTCATAACTTATTTATCTGATTTAAATCAATCTTTGAACTCGAGTCGTGACCACACCTTTTCTAGGAGAATTTTTCTGGACTGCAGTTTTTGCCTTAGCAGGAGCTGCAGCTTTGAAGAAAGCACTAAATGCGTTCGGCGCAGATTTTGACGGACGCTGACTCTTTGCTGTGGTCTCGTCAGAGAGTGCTGCCTTTAACATGTCACTCATACTCACACCCTGTCATAGAAACAAGAATAACTCAATGCACACTTAAATACACCCGTCCCATGAGACCTGCACTGGAAACATGCACTGGACAACATGAGTAGTCAGTCACACATGTTGTTGATTCATGTCACATGTCAGTCAACGAGTTGTGTGTGATTGTATAGTCCAAATAGCAGCATCAACGTTCTCCTTTTCTTATCCTGATCATGATATGGATGAAAGACACGGTGGGACCGAGTCGCTTATCTCAGATTGTTGGTTGGAGACATGGTGAGACTGAGTGGCATACCTCAGATTGTTGGTTGGAGACATGGTGAGACTGAGTGGCTTACCTCAGATTGTCAGGAGACCTGGTGAGACTGAGTGGCTTACCTCAGATTGTTGGTTGGAGACATGGTGGGACTGAGTGGCTTACCTCAGATTGTCAGGAGACCTGGTGAGACTGAGTGGCTTACCTCAGATTGTTGGTTGGAGACATGGTGAGACTGAGTGGCCTCTTGTAACTGGGAGAGGATGTGTTTTCCGGTTCGACGACTTGACGCGTTCACCTCAAACACCTGTGAGGAGAAATAGCAATATGAACACAAGACTTCAAATACACAGTCCAGCATACCCACATCAACCTTGCATGTATAAATGCGATCACAATTTTCATGGAGTCACATAGGCCACTGCTGATCTAAATGAAAGGGTTAGAGAATAAAATAGGAAGAACCTGCCTCTTGATTCGCATTAAATTCGAACTCCGAATATTACACAATTTATACCCGACACCAGTATCTCAATGGATTTTCATCGATCCTGTGAATGTTAAATTTAGAAGCCACAATCCCGGGAAAATATGCGGAAGATTCTTGTGCTTAAAAACAATGTGACCTTTCAGCCTAGACGTCAAGGTGACCAGAGAACATGATGTCATACTTTGAAGCCCAATTCCTCTGCGAGGGCGTAAACAACAGCAGTCTTTCCGATTCCGCTGGCTCCCTCTATGAGCATCGTCGTGCACATGTCATTGTCTTCTTCTTCCTCACTTCGCCAACTGTCCCTGCTGTCACTGACGATAAAGTCAGCATCACTATCACCCGACTCATCCTTGCTCTTACAGCCTGAAATAAATACATTCTTTTTTTTACTATAATTAATTAATAAATTGTGCTTATTACCAACACCGTTGTGCAGCTGTACAAATTTTGCTGCAAAATGAATGACTTCGATGTGTTTAAAGATGTGTCAATGAATGTTAATGCACCTTTCTGCTTGCTTTTATTTTTTTTCTTCCTCTGCAAGTCTTCGTTCTCTCTTTTCATGGTCTGCTTCCAGTCCTGGAGCCAACGCTTGAGCTTCGCCACACTAGCCGAGTTTCCGATCAATTCGGTTGCACATGTGGGCTGGTACTTATCTGTCCACAAATCTCCACCCAGTTTGCCTGCTAAGCATCAAAAACATTCTCATCATTTAGTCAATTGGTTAATATAAAGGTACACATCCTGCACAAAGGTACACAAACGGGCATTTGTTATTATTTATTCGGTCAAAATATCGGTGTGACAAATACCGTCAGTTGTTCCTGAAGATAGTTTTGAAGTGTGTGTTGCATCTGAAGAAATGTCAATGACTTCGGAGTTCTTCAACTTCACCGTACAACTGTCTGGCTCAATGATTTCAACACTGCCCGACCGTTGTCTCTTTTTTCCTCTGGTCACTCGACTTTCCGGTTGGCAGACCTTTGCATTCACTTCTGTGACAATGTTTCACGTAAAATAAGTACATAAAAACTTACTGTGAATTGAAGCTAACCAATAGCTTGTTATACACTGTAACTGTTAGAGATTTTCACTTAATTATCATCAAATCATTATACAACGCATTCGAATGTGCATATGCTGAACCTGAATTTAATCCCAATAAAAATCTAATTTTAGTTTTACTGAATTTAGATGATCATGTAATACATCGGCACGTATGTATACACATGCCGTATGAATTTACATATCAATAAATTAGATGAATAGACACAGTGAGAGTTGGCACCGAGTTCAGAGATAGTGAGACTAGAGAGGATGGCTTCTACCTTCTGACGTACAGCTTCCTCTCCTTCGTTTTCGTCTGCCTCCTGCTTCCTCTGTCTCAAGCTCCTCCCCTTCCTTTGCTTTCCTCTTCTGTGTTCGCTTAGCAGTCGAAGCCGCAACCGTTTCCCTACCCGAACACTGCATCTTCGGCTCGGGAAGCACATCAGTCGCTGAAGAACAAATGTTTCTGTTATACAGAATTGCCTTGCGTCTTACAGCCCGCATGGTATGGAGAATTTAGAATTTAGAATTATGCAACCTTTTCCGAAAAGAGAGCTTGAGTGGTGGCAGTAGTATTTATTGAGCATTGCAAATGAGCTGCTTTCAGACTACTATTTCTTATAAACAAGAGAATAATTGAGCATAAAAAGAGTAACAAAATAAACAATTAATTCGAATTAAGCCTAAAATAAATAAGCATACAAGCATACACATTATTATCTCCTTTTACCTGGAGGTGCTTCTTGTTCCAAAAGCGATTTGTCATACGATTGTTTCTTAGCGTAATACTGCTTAAACGTGCGCTTGACTGGAAAATCCGGGCTTTGTTGCCCCATTTCTGCTAATAGCAGCCTCACCACGGACCGTGACAGAGCAGGATGGTTGCTAAAGACCTGCAAACATAATACCAAAACATTGAGATAAAGCGACTACTCTAACATCTATGAGTAGCAGTCACATGCCAAAATTTCCGACAATTTCTGACATAACAATGTCTTTGGACATTCATCTACAGCCAGACTAATTCTCCGCCGTGGGTTATTAGTGTGGACGGACGTCAGCACCATTTATCACAGATTCTGTGCGGACACAGATATATAGTAACCTTGTGCGGCATCATCTGCTGGTCAGAATTGCTGCTGACAAGACGAAAATCTCCCGGCGCTGTCATGGGCGCAAGTTTCCATTCGTCCCTCGACCTACAGGGAAACAGAAAATATATGCTGTGATTAGAACAACGGCTGCTGCAACAAACGCAGCTACGATAGTTAGCGATGCAGATGACGACCTGCTACGTAGCAGACGACCTACCGAGTTTGTATCGTCACATCCTCCGGTTCGGACAACGTCCACACCCAGCTGGCATCGGCCTGCTGCACGTGACTGACCTCCGGCCAGGGGGAATACTCCGGGATGGTTGACATGTCAAGCGGCTTCACTGCCTGCTGCTGTTTACGAACGGCATCCGGTACACTGCTCATGAGAAACTTGAGTCTCGTCTGGTAACGGTGACAAATCAAAAGGATTAGGAGCCACGTTACAATCAGTGTTAATGAAAGTCTAATGAATCTCACCAGCATGAGGCGTTACGCGTACGAATTAACGTATCATCACCCGTACAGAGGTGTATACATGGGGTATGGGGTACCCTCACCTCGTACATAAGTGTATACATGGGGTGTGGCGTACCCTCACCTCGTACATAGGTGTACACATGGGGTGTGGCGTACCCTCACCTCGTACATAGGTGTACACATGGGGTGTGGCGTACCTTCACCCTGTACATAGGTGTACACATGGGGTGTGGCGTACCCTCACCTCGTACATAGGCAGTG